AATCAAGGTGTTGCAATGGCCCAGTCAAAGTCCAGACCTCAACCAGATTGAAATGCTGTGGCGGGACCACAAGAGAGCTGTGCATAAACAAATGCCCGCAAACCTCAACGAACTGAAGCAACGTTGTAAAGAAGAGTGGGCCAAAATTCCTCCACAATGATGTGAGAGGCTGATAAAGTAATACAGAAAATGATTACTTCAAGTTATTGCTGCTAAAAGTGGTTCTACAATGTATTCAATCATAAGGTGTACCTAGTTTTTCACACATGGCTTCTCCATTTTGGCTTCCTTTTTGTAAAATAAATGATGAGATGGTGTAATATATCACGTGTTGTTGTTCATCTCAGGTCGTATTTACCTACCTTTGAGAACTGCTAAGGACGATTTTTATGATGATTTTTATTATGTCCTGATACATAAAACCATAGAACTCAAAGGGAGTGTACTTCCTTTTTCAGATGACTGTATAATGTTGCTTTTGGCTCTTCTTTACACTTTGACTCTATATACATTTTAAAGTATTCCCAACACAGCAGGAAAATGCAACTTTAATCTTATACTAGCATAGACATTCATGGCTGGTCTCTGTTGCAGCGATCAGAAACCACCTTGGCTAAAGGCCAATCTGAAGTCAGGACACCTGGTTGTAAAGACAGGAGCCCAGTCAGTCCCTCCTCAGTTGCTTGCAGGCTGCATAGCAGACCCCCTTGCCTCTGAAGATGCCAGCCACAGTTGCTGGCAAAACTTAAAGAAAGTTTTCTCTAGACCATGATCCCTAAACCCTGAAGCCCAAGACTGCCCACTTTAATCTTGGGGGAAGCAGCTCACTGTGTCCCATTTGTGGGAAGCCAGAAGTCGGGAGATGCTGTTTTTCTGTAATTGCATTGGTCCTCCATATGGGCCTCCCATGGGAGGTTTGATGGGGTCCAACATTATCTACCTTCCAGAAACACCTAAGAATGGAATTTTTCCAGAGGGTATTTAGGGTCTGATGCTAGGTACTGTTTTGGGGTCCATATGTATTCCTCTTTTAAATTATAAAGATTATGTTATCATATTTTTTCTTATTTTTGAGTTGCTAAGGGTCTATGATGATGGACTATAAAGTAAATAAATAGTCCCCTCTGCCCCCAAATGTTCCAGCCCTCAACAAAAAATGGGTTAATCTACCCTGTTCTTCTTTATCTCATTCTGTCAAACTTTCTTTAGTTTAAGAGGAAAAAGCTAAGGAAGTTAAATTCCAAACACCTAGTTGTGATTCTGTAGTATGGCACATAAGACATTATGGCTTTGGTAAATATGTGCTGGTTGTTATAAAACTGCATCTTTTGACATTACTTTCAAAAAGCAATTCATACCAACTTTGCTTGATATATTGTTTGCATAATAATAACTATTATCACTATTATTTTTATTATTAGAAAAGTTCCCATGTATCTTAACTGAACTATGTCTATTTGCTTTCCTAGATATGGATGACTGCTTCCAGTGCCCAGAAGATCAATATGCCAATAATGATCAAGATTCGTGCCTTCTCAAGGATTTAAGTTACCTGTCCTATGAAGAGACTTTGGGGACTGGTTTGGCCACTTCAGCCCTCGTGCTTTCTTTCACCACAGCTTCTGTGCTAGGAATCTTCCTGAAGTACCAAGACACTCCCATCGTCAAGGCCAACAACTGCAGCCTCTCTTTTACCCTCCTCATCTCCCTCCTCCTCTCCTTCCTTTGTTCTCTTCTCTTCATTGGGAGACCCAGGAAGGTGACCTGTCTCCTTCGAAAGACTGCTTTTGGGATCATCTTCTCAGTGGCGGTTTCTTGTATGTTGGCCAAAACCATCACTGTGGTTCTCGCTTTCATGGCCACCAAGCCAGGATCAAGGATGAGGACATGGGTGGGAAAAAAACTGGCCTTTTCTGTTGTTTTCTCATGTTCCTTTATTCAAGCCACACTTTGTGCTGTCTGGCTGGGAATCTCTCCCCCCTTCCCAGACATCAACATGCACTCCATAATGACTGTAATCATTGTGGAATGCAATGAAGGGTCAGTTGTCATGTTTTATTGTGTCTTGTCTTTTATGGGCTTCCTGGCTCTGGTCAGCTTTGTTGCAGCTTTCCTGGCCAGGAAGTTACCAGACAGCTTCCAGGAAACCAGATCCATCACGTTCAGCATGCTGGTGTTTTGCAGTGTGTGGGTGTCCTTTGTCCCTGCCTACATGAGCACCAAGGGGAAGTACATGGTGGCTGTGGAAGTCTTCTCCATCCTGGCCTCCAATGCTGGGCTCCTGGCTTGTGTCTTTTTTCCCAAATGCTACATCATCATGGTGAGGCCTGACCTGAACAAAAAGGAGCATCTAATAAAGAGAATTATTTAAACCGTCTTGTCTTTGCGTTGTCTTTGTCAGCAGCATCGTGAGGTAGGTCTTTTGAGATTGCAACTTTGAGAGGTTCTTGAAAGGTCACATGTTCCATTCTCATCATGTTTGAAATAACAGAAGGGGACAGGCACAAGCAGAAGAAATTTTGCACAGAAATTTTGCACTCAGTGCCTAAATCAATTGTTGAACTAGCAGCTGCTTTCTCACAAGATATTAAGATTGTTTCTTGTTAAATTTCATTATTTTGGAGCTTGGTTTGTCCTTTGATTCAAATTCTTTTTGTTAATGTCTTGTCCTTATATAATAGACAGGTCCCCAGGTCCTGATCTAATCCTCAGATAATGGATTAATTCATTTAGCCAAGATATGTGGGTGAACACAGCTCTAGAGCAGTTGAGAGTAAAGAAATAATAATCAGATTTCTATTCAAGGATAAAAGCAAGCAGACATGTTTTCAACTTCAATTTGGAGAACTGGGGATTTTCAGAAGGTAGTTTTCACACATGAGGCATCATGAGGAACGTGAAGGAGATTCAGCTGGATTGCACAAAACAAGGATCACAGTGCCTTTTAAAAATGAAGAGTTTAAAGAAACTGCCAGCCTTCTCAGATCTCATTTCTTGAGTTAATGATGGTGAAGCCCCTAAATTAGGCACAGCAGCCCTGACATAAGAGGAAAGCTTGATAATCGGTCTCAAGGGTTGACTGTAACTAGTTTATCCATGATCTTATGCCTCATACCAGCTGCTGTGCTCTGTATTGGAAGGAGTGGCAGTGACATTCCAACTTCAGGTGTTGGCAGCACATCTATTTGTTCTTCTTGGTCTTCTTGAGTCTGGAATGTAATGTGTAGTTGGTCTGTCTCAAGTTGTGAGGGCAGCTTCCTCTTTACTATGTTGAATCATTGGGTAACTAGCTGTTTCTCAGTTAGTGTGAATGAACGTTTTCTGTCCACCCATAGTTCCCTCATATGTTTTATATATCCCCACTCATTAGGTCAACTGTTGTAGTAGCATTCCATCAATTCCAGGTTCTCTTGTCCATTCCAGCCAGGATTCAAACCCTGGTCTCCCATGTCAAAGGGCAGTGCTCAAACCATTCACTATCCAGCTGCACATACACACACACACATACATATTTAAAGTGACTAGAGTCATCAATAAGTTGGATAAGAAGAGGGTGAAGAAACTCAACCATAGGGGTTAGATGGGATTTGTTCTACAATTTGACTTTTCTAACTGAATGAATGTAGATTTCATCTTGAGAAGTCAATCAATATCAGTAGAGATCTGTTCCTCACTGAGTTTTTAGTCTTCATGGGTCGGTAGTTAGGACTATAAATCCTTTCTAGAGGTCTCTGTCTCTCTTTTTGTTTCTACTGAAGAATTGGTGCCAGATCCCTTTGGCTTTTGTGCACTGCTACCATCTAGTGTGTAATCACACTGTTACAGACCAATTCTGGCAGGCCTAAATGCATGGGATTTGGAAATCAGTGTAAATGTCAGTGAATATCTCCATTTCTTTACTTTTCGTTACAGCTTCCAGCATTTATAGCATATTCAGAAAACTTTCAACATATTCTGGGAATCTCTATAAAATTTATCCAATCAAGAGTGCTCAGGATAGGAGCCACCTTGAACTTCTAGCGGTTCTGTTGCTTAGCAAAGATTTCAAGTTAAGGCAAATCTCATGGGAAACATTCTTCAAAAGTTACTCATCTGTTTTGATCACTTCTTCCCCCTTGGAACCCTTTGGTTTGGGTTGTTAGAAAATGTGCACTAATTGCACCCTGAGAATAAGCTGAAAACTCTCTGTGCAATACCAGGAAAAACAGATTGTTTTTCCTCACTGTTTTGAAGAATGAAGAACTCTGGTGAGGTAATCATCTGCTCTGCCTTTATAAACTTGATTGACTTCTCCTTTCAATGTGGCAATTCCCTGTAAAAGACAATAGGACCTACCACTTTAAGGCTAAAGGATGCTTCAGAAATTCACTTTGAAATTAATTCAGTAGCTAGAAGTTTGTTATGAACTTCCGTGGCTTTCCAGTTGAATCCTGGCTGTTCATCTGGAGAATATTCCTCCAATCATGGGGGAAATGAACAGTTTTTTTACAGGAAGATTTTCATATGTTGCAGTTGGGATGTTGGTATTAGGGATACTTCCTAGGAGTGTTTGCAAAGTTTCCTTTTCAAAAGGCAGTGAATCCAGTCCATTTCTTCATAAATACCATGAACCAGGGGACCTCATTCTTGGTGGTATAATTTCTCTGAGCTTTTTAACTTCAGAGAAGATGATATTCAGAAGACATCCTTGGGAAGACTTTTTTCTTGAATCTATGTAAGGAGTTGGATGGTTTTGAGCTCTATTGTATATCTAGCCTGGCAATCCTCAGAAGTTATAACAGGACAGTTTGCTTATTGTTTTGTGGGGGGAGGAAGGTGGGGGGAGATGGGGAGTTTCTGCTTGCAAATGATTTTTTCTTTTTCATTTCACTAACCTAGAGGAGGAGGAAGGGGAACTGGAGTATTAATATTGGAGATATTAGAGATACATAGAGTTAGAGATTTATTTCAGTCAATGACCAGGTAAAACAAAACATACATAAACTAATTACAGCAGAAGCTTTCCAAGAGAAAGAACCAACTTGGCAATTGTTTAACTCTATGAAGGTAACTATCTCTTACTACATGTGAAAAATCACCAAGTATTTTATTTTAGAAAGACTAGAAGGATTTCTCATGTGTACAAACTCTCCCTAGGAGCTACTGAACTTTGCAGAGAAAGGACAATTGTCTTCACATTAACTCCTTTTTTTTTTTTTTTTAGGGAATGATGAATATGATCCAGATTTAAAAATGGCTAACACTAGGTCTACCATGGATCTGCTTGAGAAAATTTGTATGAGAAAATTTCTATAAGTAGGATTAATGGTGGAATTATATTTTTAATATTTAGCTGTTACCTTCCAAATTAATGGTAGAATATATGTGGAGTTATTTCCAATATATTGGATATGAAATCAGATAGTAATCAAGTTCAGAGTTATTACTCTTGAAAATGGGTCTCTCAGCAAGCAATTGTACTGAAGGGATTTATTATTTTTCAATTGAATTGCAGGTTACTAACTCAGACCTA